TTCTTCTTCTTCTTCTTCTTCTTCGAGTTTCAATCGATTGTGCTAACCAGTAACCTTCAACCACTGCCCAAAAAAAAAAAGAGGTCAAAGAATTTCGAACTCTCTGTCATTATTATTTCCCGTGGGAATTCAAGCGGTTTGATCAAAGAATTTAAAATTTTCTTGTGAATCTGAAAATATGATATTCTTCGACGGTGGTGGGCAGTTGGGGATGATCAACGAGAGGAAGCATAGGAGCATCATGAGTTGTGTGTGTGTTGTGAATAGTTGAGATGAAAGGAAAGAGAAAGTGGGAAGATACAATCCTATAATTATGCCTAATATAAATGAACCCTTAATTATATCCCTAATTTGAATTATGGTATAGAAATGGTAATTTGGTATGCTTAAATGTAATAAACACAAACCTTAAACATTGAGGGTAATAACGTTTGATATATGGTATAGATAGGTAAAAATCCCAACTTTTAATTATTTAAAACAATGTACATAAGATAATAGCAATTTAAGATACATTTCTCTCCACAAAAAAAGGACTCAACTCTACCTTCTTCCCCACCCACCTACCCACCATGCCCCCCATTTTTCCTCTAAGAAAACAAAAATAGAAGAAAAATCATTTCCACTCGCCGCAGCACCCTGAATATACTGGAAATATTGCATTACAACAAATCTCTGATCCTCTACGCGTTAATATCCGGTTCCCTAACGTAAATAGACCATACTACAAGGGAAGATGATGAAGATGATTTGTTGATGCATTAGGGCTGCTGTACCATCACAGTAGAGCCGATGTCCAGTTAAAAGATACTCCATTTCCGTTTTGCCAATTTAGTATCCTACTATACCACTATGCACATGATATCCGAGTTGGCAATGCAGTCGAATGTTGTACTGTTAAGCACCTCGAATTGTGTCCACTCTGTCAATGACATCCAAAGCTTTCATCCGGTCAATGTCAAAGTCGATCACTGGAACAGAAGAGGGTCTCCTGATAGGAAAGGGGTCTTTCCTGGTTTCACTTACAGGTGAATGGCTACTGCTCTTACTTAGCCTGTGGTACTTGCTCAACCTTGTTTTTGCAGTATCAAATTCTTGAGACTTGCTAATCCCTGGAGTTAGTTTTCTCTTGCTCACATCACGAAGCATTTCTTGGTCTTCAACCGTTAACGGAGAAGATGGAGAGCTTGGTTTGTGGGTAGAGAACTGAATCAACTTTTGATTAGGGGAACGGATTGGAGATCTTACTCCATCATTAGCAGCAATTCTTGACTGACTGACAAGATGATGGAGCCACACCACTAATTCAAGAATAAATGCTTCTGTTTTATCCTTATCTGCATGATACAATGTCTCGATTCGAAGAAGATCAACTTGGCTAGCAGGTTTCCTGCTTATTTCGGACCTACAGATATTTTCTTTTTTCAATTAGACAAAGCCAAAAGAAGATGCAATCGAATTAAAAGATTAGTCCACACAGATTTAAGCTCACCCTGTATTTGCCCATTCTCCAACCCATCCGAAGCCATGGTGGGCCCTGAAATTAAATTTGGAAAGAAAAAACAGTATTAAGCATGCGGGGAGATGATTAAACCAAAATATTTTAAATCGTAATGCATAATTACTTTTCGTCTGCTGTGTTCCGAATTTCAGGGGCAGACTTAAGAAGTATCAACTTCCTTCCCTATTTGACTTCCAAAGCAACCATAAAAGCGAAATGGAATGACATTTTTATTTAAACCCTGAATCTATATTGTGTTATATTTTCTTTCTCTATAAAGATGGAAAGGATAAATGAACTGTTTTAGGAATTAGGATTGACTTTGATAAGAGATCAAAGGAGAGGAGGATAAAAATAAACCACCTACTTCTTTTTACCATACAAGAGTGGGTGGAAAAGGAGGGCAAGACCTCATCCAACCACACTCTTTAGCAGGCCAAACTAGTGCTTGTACTGAAGAGATGTACATATTAGGATACAGATGTCAAATGATACATCTTTTATTTTTTATCGTTTCAAATAATACATCATTCATTATCAAGCCAATAACAAAGTAAGCTACTTTTACCCTTTCATGTCTTTTCCTTTAAATAGATCGGCCCAGTTTATATGACATACGTCATCGTTGGAAATCATTTTCTGTCACTAAGTTCCCAAGAAGTTATTGAGAATGCTTTTGTCTAGGAAACCATCTTTTCAGTCCATGACACGTGTTCCTCTTTGAAAACAGTGAGAATCATTTTCATTCAGATGAAATGAAGGAAAACAACTTATGTAATGGACAACAACATTCATTTTCAGTCCACTGACACTTATTCCTATAGGTAAACATTATTTCCATTCCTACTACTTATAATTATCGCCAAACACTAAAGCCATGCCCAGCCTCAACCTTCCACATCCAACAGCCACTATTGTATTTCACCAATTTATGCTTAACGAAACAACGAAAATAAATTGGAAAATGATTTTGCCGGGAAAGCATCTTCTGTAATAAAATTACCATCTAAAACATCCTACATCATACCAGCCATTGTTTACTTCTCTTTCATCATACCAGCCATTGTTTACTTCTCTTTCTTTTGTTCCCAGCATCACATAAGGATAACTTTTTATCAGTCTCAACGCAGTTTTATTTTGAATGATCACCTCAAGTCATGTAAAATATGTAGAAACGGAAAGATTACCTCCTAACAGCATCCCGCCAATATTAGGAGTCCCAAAAAGTTTTATTTTTTTGATAAAGAAGTCCCAAAAAGAATTAGCAGAGCAAAAGTCATATTGGAATTAGAACATAGTAACGTTCATGCAACCATAGCCAATGAACAAGTTTTGCCATGGACAGAAGTTTTTACTTGGTAGTATTGGTTGCCATGGGTACAAGCCACTGCAATGTTTTCTCCATTTCACCTTTGATTTGCAGGACTGTCAACTGCACAAGGAAATTGTTAACAATTCAATTAACTCGAAGGAAGAAACTAGCAAACCCGTCACAAGCAAAATATAGAATAACCCATCCTCGACATTAGACACGATATAAATCATATAACCATAAGTACCTCTTCCTTGAGTGAGAATGACAGTAATTTGAAACGTAAAGTTGACTTTATGCTTGGTGGCAACCCTTGGTATAGAGCATCTCTTGTACTTGGGGGAATTGTCCCTGGTCGAGTTACCTGACCATAACAGAGATATCTTAGCTAGTAATGCCTATAGGCGATGTGATTGATAAAGAAATCACAAAATATAACTGTGTAACAATGATCTATACATGTTTAATAAGCTAGTCAACTAATGTGGCTATGATTTGAAAATGCCGATCAGTTACGCTTCTGTTAGATTGTAAAACATATAATTCCAGCAGTTGACAGACAGTAATGCACGTAAAAATAACAAAAGTTGAGAAACACTTCGAAACGAGGGGAGGAAAAGAGGCATCTTCTCACAATAAATACTCGCAACATGTTTGCTTTTGTCAAGCTATGAGTATCTTGGCACAAACAATATCACGATGACCACCATAATATTGACCAGATTTCTTGTATCATATTGTGTAATATTCCAATAACTCTGGATATATTCTTTAGCTAACAATGGAATATTTAAAGTGTTAGGAGCATCAAATAAACTATTTATTATATACATGGCATAGAACTCCTAGATATAGAGTTCTTTCGGTACATTGTAATCCAATCAGCAGCCAAGTCAATGCCGTGTCAGCAATTTCAGCAAACTAGTTAGCAGTCAGCATCATGTTATCAGTCCAGTCAGAGATATGTCAGCACCCAGTCAGCTTTAGACAACATCCATTCAACACAAAAGAAAAATAAAAATGACAAAGAACTTGTTACTTGGGCTTTCCAGCATCCTGAGTCCATTTCAGATTTGTCAAATTCACCACTAAAAGTCAAGTGAAAACCAATTTACTCTTCTTTTCTAATCATAAATGGCAATGGAAAGCAAAAATCAGAAAGCACATTTAGGAGATCAGTCAATTGTGGATCTAGTGAAAAATATGACGGAGCCCTAAAATAAGTATTTGTCCATCTCTATCACATATACCAGTAACTCAAATACATGCCTCAAAAGCTCTTCATTTCTATTTAGGAATCTTAGATCACAGGACTGGTTTCCAACATTTAGTTACCACCCATAAGCACCCTTACTAATGGCACCAGAACTATGGACATAGGAGTCACTAAGTTCTCATTACTCCATCTTTGACTCTTAACTACGTCCTATATGCTCCTGAATGCCCATTTTGCCTTATATTATAGACGAAATTCCTTGACTGTTCAAGTAGCTTTACTAATCAATGAGCTCTTGTGCAAGATCAGGTTACAAGACGGCCAATTGGATAAAGGGAACGAGTCATGAGGCCTTTATTAGTGGCTGGATGTGGTTCCACTGCATTTACTAGTGGTGAATCCCATCTTCATATCCATGGTCATCTTGGTCATCACCATCTCTCGTAACTTCGACAGAGACTTTCTAATTTTCCGCCATGTAATCAATAGATAGCAAGTTGTATAAACTTGGAAAACAAAAATGCGCTACTTCCCCAAAACAAGATAATGGTAGACTATCTACCACTTTAGAACTTGTCCACCAAAATATATATAACCAAGCCAGTTAGTTCTAGTCTTGGCTTCCATTACTGTTTCACTTTGATAGATGATTACTCCCACTGCCCTTGCAAACTTGGTTTTGAGTTGTTTTACATACGTAAAAATTTATGAGGATGTTGTAATCCAATAGGAGTCCCAATTTGTACCTTACAAAGTGACAATACCAAAGAGTACTTTTACAAGTCAATTCAAAGTATCCATATCTTCCCAAGAAAGACTCCATTAGTCATCATCTCATTACACTCCTCAACATTAAAAGGATAGTTGAGCACAAGAACAATCACCTAGTTGGACTACCGACACAATACTACTTCAGTAATTCACTATAATATTCCTCTTCAACTTTAGATAAAACCAGTTCTTGGTGTTAGCTAATCAACTTGTATGTCTTCATCGGCTCCAAAATATCAAATTCCTTATTCGATCAATATCCTAATGAACCTCTGTATAAACTTCCGAATAAAGTTTTTGGGAGTAACTTTTTGTGCATGATGTAACTTCAGGAAAGATAAATCACTGTGATGTCAGTGAAATGTCTTTATGGGTACTCGCAGCTTGCAAAAACTTAAATCTCCCGCATTATATTGGTACTTTTGTCTCCGAATATGAACATTCTTTGAGCATCATCATTCATATTTTTGTTTTCCACAATTTGACTATTCTCGACCTTCCTCCTTTAGTTAGTAGTGAGATCCTCATTGATAGTACAGTAGATGACTCAATTACTTCATCGCGCGCATTCCAGTCCCAGTCATGCCTTGCCTCCAATAGATGATCTCACTATCGTTGTTCGAAAATGTTTTCACACCATTCAAAACCCTCACCCCCCTATATAACTTCTTAAGTTATCATTTGATGTCTCCATACCAGTATACTTTTGTTTTGTCAATATTTTCTGTTTCTACTCCACGAGCTACCAAGGCATTAGCTAGTCCTGGATGAAATGTGCAAATTGATTATGAAATGTGTATCTTGCATTCCAGTGCATGGAAACTAGTATAGTTGCTGGCCGGAAAGTCTACATTTGGGTGTCGATAGGTATACTTGATAAATATAGGGATTGATGGACAAATTGACCAACTTAAAGCTCGTATTGTAGTTACAGCATACCCAAAGTTCATAACTGTGGTGATCTCTTCTCTCTTCTTGCTATCTATGAATGCATGAAACTCGGTCTCTTTATTAGGTCTATATCAAAGACACATTTCTCCATAACGAGCTAGAGGAGGAGGTTTCTATGAAGCAATACCTACTTTGTTGCTCTAGGGGAGTCCAGTCTAGTATGTCAACATCAAACAGTCTCCACGAGTTTGTTTGGACGGTTCACTTATGTAGTTCAACATTTTGCAATAGCTCATGTATGTCAGATTGTTTTCTCATGACACTCTATATCATCAGTGTCTCTATCATGTTCATCCGTAGGTTAAGTCATTAATGAAGATGACCAGAAAGGGTGAGACACTAAAATGAGGTTTCTTCATTCACTTCCAAACTAAAGATTTGGGACAACTTAAGTTTCAGCTCTCTTCTTTGGCAAATGAGACAGTACTTAGATGGCTTGGGGCACTTCGTTTTCAATCGGTAAGCAGCAAAATTTATGAAAGCAGGCTTATTTGTTCATGTCTTACCTATTAAAGAAAAAAAACAGGAAACTTCCCAAGATGCAGAATAGCTGGATGTAGACAGTTATCGAATGGAGTCATGGATCTAGCCCGGTATGCATCTGCATACGTAATAATTTCACTAATTCCTCGATCCTCTTATTGAAGTCATGTCTTGGATTATTCTTGATACGTTGAAGGATGTGTACCATTGTATCCTAGCGACTATCACGAGGATCTAGCAAAAAGTGACCGACAAAAATAACAACAAATGAGACATCCGGGCATGTGATGGTTAGATAATTCAACTTATCGACCAATCTCTTATAACCACCCAAGCATGTTAAGGGCTCTCCTTGTCTTAGAAGTAGTCGACCTTAAAGTCCACGGTTAGAGTGTACATGGTTCGGTTTAGTTGGTTTTTCCTTTCAAAAAACACCAAGTCAACTATGTCAGTTTGTTAAATCTAACCATATCAAACCAACATAAAGTCGGTTTCTAGTTTTGATTTTTCCAATTTTTTCGGGGGTCTTAGTTTTTTCTCCAATCACGTGAATATTAGGTGTATGTCAATGTGAATTTTCCAAGCATGCACTGAAATTAAAAAATTTGTCCCACCTTGTATGTAGAACTAATGAACTTAATATCTCACTATAAATGTGTCTAGATTAGACTTAATTATGAAATGATACATATTATTTTCTTTTGAAATTGAAAGTATCTAAAAAAGGATATTTCTTAAATATAGGTGAATTAATAAAAGAAAATACTGAATTTAATGTCATGTTATAAATGTATCTAGTTTAGACTTACACATGAAATGATACATATTATTTTTCTTTTGAAACTGAAAGTATCTTAAAGGGTATTTCTTCCCGCCTTATATATAGGTGAATTAATAAATTTAATATTTCACTATAAATGGTTAAACCCAAATCATTTTTGTCGGCATAAAAACATGTGTTATTGCACTTATTCTCCATTTCAAAATTGAAACCATTGTGGATTTGTCCGAATCCAACGAAACAACCTAATTTCTGCCTATGGTAAAGGTTAAATTAGGTTGGTCAAACTTTAAGAATTGCTAAATTAGTTACTTGCATCTGGTTTTTGCCTTTTTTTATCTTTACAATAAGTCATGAAGGAGTTAAGTCTTCAATGTTACATATGAGATGCATTTATAATTAGCAAAAAAATTCAGGCCAAAACCCCCAGCATTTTTTTTTTTTGGTTTTACTTATTTTCATTTATGAAAAGGGGAGCCTTAGCGTAACTGGTAAAGTTGTTGTCATGTGACCAGGAGGTCACGGGTTCGAGCCGTGGAAACAGCCTCTTGCAGAAATGCAGGGTAAGGCTGTGTACAATAGACCCTTGTGGTCCGGCCCTTCCCCAGACCCCGTGCATAGCGAGAGCTTAGTGCACCGGGCTGCCCTACTTATTTTCATTTATGAAAAGGGGAGCCTTAGCGTAACTGGTAAAGTTGTTGTCATGTGACCAGGAGGTCACGGGTTCGAGCCGTGGAAACAGCCTCTTGCAGAAATGCAGGGTAAGGCTGTGTACAATAGACCCTTGTGGTCCGGCCCTTCCCCAGACCCCGTGCATAGCGAGAGCTTAGTGCACCGGGCTGCCCTACTTATTTTCATTTATGAGCTTAAGATAATAAATAAGTTCTTAATCCAGTTTTAAAAATTTTATTTTTACTTTATAGTTATGAGTTGTTGAATTCAAAATACATATACAAACATACGTCTTATTTATACATATATAGTCAGTTTGGTTCGATTTTGATTCGGATTTTTTTTCCTGGGGAGGTTTAACACCAAACCAAACCAGATATTGTCGGGTTTTAAGTCAAACCGCAAGTCGGTCTTTCATTGGTTTTACTAGGTTTTCCGCTTCAATTTGATTTTTCGGTTTTTATTGTACACTTCCATCCACGGGTCAGGTTTGCAAATGCATATTAGGCTAGATGTCCATCCAATGAAGTAGTTGACCTAAAAATTCATGGGTCAGGTTTAAGAATGCATATTGGGCTAGATCTCATTCAATAGGCAATCCACATTCAAGTGTTATGTTTTGATTAAAGGAAACCTACCATCTCGGGGGAGGTTCTACCTCTTTTATACGTAAGACATTAAGCAATAAGCCTTGCTTTCACAATCCCATGTTTCTCGAAAACTATGCACACCAAACCATCTAATCGAAGTCTCACAATCTCGCTTCTCAGAAAAGAGAGCCAAGATAAGTCCAAGTCATACGGGATATGACAAGGTCCTATCCTAAATTCCTAATAAGCTAGGGTAGGATTGATCGAACAAGCAACATGTACAAAGCAAATATATGGTTGCTAGACCAAGACATAAGCTGAGTATACAGTTATAAGCCTGTGACATGTGAGCTTATATAGTTTAAGCAGTTACTCAAGAAATTTAAAGTTCAGAGAAGTAACACAAATGAAATAAATATCGAGCATCTAAATCAATAAGCGTCGAAAGGACCATTAGACATATTGAGATTGATTGTCACTTTATCCGCTAAAAATGCAATCCAACTCTGATGAACAACGCAATATATGTGTGGTATGTTCGGAATCTATGATCTGTATACTCCAACTTGACAGAGAGTTACAATATTGACCAGATTCATTGTACTATGTCTTGTAATATTCCAAAGAATTTTATGCATATAATTTATTTTTAGTAGTAAAATGCTTATTTATCATGCTAGGAGTATGAAGTAAATATTTACCAAAGTATATGTGGTCTAGAACTTCTTTATGAGGAACTCTTCTTATACATTGTCAATTCATACAACACAAATTTTCTCATCTCTTCTCTTGTTCTTCACAATAAGAACACCTCCGGCGCTTACGGTGCGCTAGGTTTGTTATGATCAAATACTAAAAACTCATTTGCACTGTCCCAAATTCTAAAATATGGTGATCACCATACACATCAATGGAAAATAAATTGCACATCCATTTTGATAATGATTCTCCAACATGAGGCCCTTTGCGGACTATGCACAAGAACCAGAAGTTTTGTGGAGAAAAAAAAAAGTGAAACCTGTATATCTATAACACAACAAAGCTTGCAAGTAAGCCCAAGCGCCAAATTTCTCCGATGATAGTTTAATGAGATCCTCCAAAATTCTGATAATAGACATTGTCAGATCATGATCTTAGTTGCACTATCCCAATATCTAATTTACAATAATCGCTACCTTCTATAAGTCTAAAATAAAAGAGAAGATATCATTTGTCATAGTGGCATTGCTTCTAATTGTAGTCCAATTGTCAAGCATCACAGAATCTCAATACTCAAGATTTTTGTTTAACGGTTACGTCTACAATGGCATTTTCAAAGCTGATTGGCTAAAACCTTCTCATAGGTAACAGAGTGGAAGATGGAATACTGCAAAGAGAAAGTACGATCTAAACAAGCCTTTGCCTCTAAAATTTGATTCCATGGGATACAATCTCTAACAAACTTAAGATCTCAAGGTCCATCTTGTGAGAACTAAGTTAGCTTGTTATCTAACTTCTCATCTTACTAGGGCTCCTGATTAGAGAAGAACATGGAAAAAAGAGGATGGATGCTTCAGTTTAAACCCGGCCAAAATGGAAAACACTTCAATATCCAGACTAGCCAATTGGACAATCAAAAAGATAAAATAGAGGCTTGAATGACATTAGCACTTCTAGACATTTGCTAAAATCAGTTAAACCCTTCAAATACTTCTCTTTTTTCTCTTTTTGAGAAATATACCTTCTTTCCATACTTGGCCACTCTAACAAGATGCTCAAGCTGTTCCTACCACTATGGAAGATCAATTTAGTCTGTTATGTAGCTTTCCACTCAACTAAACTGAAAAACTGACTACCCAATTCATTCATTGCTTCAGTTAACTTTCAGCAATTTAGGTGCAATATAATAGCTTCTGGAACTTAGTTGAGTCTCTAAGTTGGACCTAGCATCTGAGATTTTCTATGCCATTTGCCAACCCAGAGAGAAACAGAACATTATGTTCAGCATAAGCCAAAAAGAAGAAGATTCTGACAAATATAACCTCTCTTCCAAGCTTTATTGATTAAATCTGGGAACAACATGTCGAAGGAGAAACACGAGGAGGCATAAGTGATAAGACAGGGAAGCAGTAAAGTCAATACCACAGAGGGAACTTTCGCAGAATTAGCTTGTACTGGTTGAGAGCCTGAGTCAATCCCAATGCCAAGTTGTTCTATATTTTTATTTCTTCTTTTAACTAGAATTCAGAAGGAAGTGAAAAAGAAGAATTCAATTGAAGAAAGGGAAAGAATTTGGAAAAATAAAATAAAAATAACAAGAAAGGGAAAGAAAATGATAGAGCAAGAAAAGTAAGAGGGAATTTCATTGCCCCCCCCCCCCCCCCCCCCCAAAGAAGGAAACTTTTATATTTCCAAGTAGGAAAGATTATAGGTACTGTTAACCGTCAGAAAAGTAAGTTAAATTTGTTGATTCAGGCAAAAGAATAAGCTCAGAGGGCTGTGAAGCGGGAAAAAAAAGGAATTGAAGGGGGAAAATGGTGCAGATTGAAATGCTTTGGTCCCTGGTTATAGTCAAAAGTAGCTATTATGTTGGACTCATCACCTGAATCATCTAAGGTGATTCTGTTGGACCGATCAAATTAGTCCTCCTAGTGCAATTTATTTTAACCACGTTAACCTTACAAAAGTAAGGAATAGAACAGCCAACGTACCGCTTGATGTTGGCTCAATCAAAACACTAGATCAACATAATGAACATGAGGAATTTGGTAATCTCAGTAAGAAAGTAGGGGCAAAATAGTTAGACGCTTATGGACTTCTATGCTGAGTAGTTATGGATCAACTATTTAACTCAATAGTCAACATTAGAGGAACATAAGCACTTCAAAATGATTTGAACTATTTTGTTATTGAACTCTCTGGGGATGTCTACAAGAAATGGAAAAATGTATATAAGACTACCAACGAACTAGCGTTGTCATCAAAGGAATCAAAAGGTGCGCTTTAGCAAGTGAAATAAGTGTAATTCTTAATGTTCCAAAACTGTTATAACAGAATAAAGATGAAAAAAAAAACCTAAATGACAAATTGAAGGACAAAGATTTTGCATAAAAGTAAAGAGGAAATTTCCAGATGAATTACTAATGTAATTGCCCATTAGCATGTCAAAAAGTACTAAAACTTAGCAGATATCAAATTCAAGCAAAGATTTGAAATTCACAAATTCAGTGGCAGATTGGCGAGCTTCAATCCAATTTCTCCTGGGAGTCTTGAAGCACAATGAGAGCATATACCAGCATAGAGGAGGGTTGTTGATATGATCACCGAAAAGGTGTCTAAGCTAGCTAGAGAAAGAACAGGACTTGTGTTCCACATTCCATAACCTCACATTACCAATAGAGAACAAAAGTAGGTTGGATGGAAGGATGGAAGTAAAGACAAAATACTTAAGAGCAAGTGTGCTGAAAATAACAGTGATTTTTCAAATAATGGGTGTGGGATGCTTACAAGTATATCAATCTGACTGATGATATTTGCATAATGCAATGCAAGACCAGCAGATCCCAACCTCTCGTGGTTGTTTTTCACAGGTCTATCTCCATCTGCATGGGTCATCAAGACTACGGTAATAATGATACCACAAACTTGCCAATCTAGTCAATAAACCATGTGCAGTCTAGTCAAGACAGGCTGATACAATTTTAACTAGATATGTTGTGCAAAATCAGCATAGTAATGCATAATTATTATGATTAAACAAAGAAGTTCACAAGTGAGTTCCATGGGTTTCTGTCTGCCAAATGAAATAATACGCCATTTCAGAAGGGACCATTGGATCAACTCATTAGTTGTAGAATTAGTGTAACTGTAACATCACACACAAGTATTGAGCAATAAGCAAAATCTTTAGAAACTATAGTTCTGTTATCTGCAATACTAGTAGCAGATTACTCAAAAATTCATCCAAGACCAATGATTCCCCTAGATCACTGGACATGCTTCAACAGCAGAAACCATCTTTTTCAACAGACAACTTGATAGGTATCACTGGTAGTACATACCTTCACGCCAAGCATAAAAAAGGACAGCCCAGTCCACTAAGCTCCCACTAGTTTGATAAAATCAAATCGAGGTATAGTTTCGTCATACTTATCAACAATTTAACATAGAAAGTTCCATCGAAAAATGAATCTCTCAGGATATACAACAAAACATGACTACAAACATTAGTGGGAAAAAAAATCATAATAACAGCAATCACTCGTCCAACTATCGCAGACATGACAGCAACAAAGCACCACAAGAGAAGTTAAATTGAAGTTTCTAATGCATTACCAGCGTAGCCAAATGCAGCATGGATCTCCAAATGAAGGAAATGCACAATGTCCACTAGCTTCTCCGTCACCTTCAATTACGAGTGTAAGATTGATCAATTCAAAGAAATCTGATAAATTTATCTAAAACAGTTTAACCATCTCATGCTATATAAAATATGTATCATGTAACAAGCCCACCAAGTAGAAATCAAATTACCATTGTTAATTTCAAAAACAAAAGAGATCATAAATCACCATTGACTTGCTACCTCTTCCAATATCTTGAACCAGAGGGATTTCTTTTTCAAGCTTTTGACATGCTTCCTTTGACTTTTCAACTCTGTCCTTAAAATTGGAAGGCTATCTCCTACATAACATTAAACATAGAATATTATACCAGACATGCAGCAAATGAGAAAAAGAAAAGGAAAAGAAAAAGAAGAAGGCAAGAAAGCACAAGAAACAAAGAGGATTAAGAAACACTCAGGTGCTAGTCTATATCAAACCTAACATCTTTTTTGGACTAAGAGTTTGAATTAACCTGCCTTAATCAGGATCTGATTTAAATCATTTACCTTGGTAGTTACATTGAAAAATTTAATCTTGTGAACCACAAAACCAATATTGATCTGCAAAGTGATTATCCTTCAAGCGATCATCTAATAACCCCACATACTCAACAAGAAATTTTTTAGATCACCAGACAAAATAGTCTATAGTTATTACAGACTGGTCTGAGAGGAAAAGATTCTGAAAGGAGGTGAGCAGTAAAAACTACTCACAACTCATGAAGACTAAGTAATCAACGCCAGAACCCACAACCTGTCAGTTTATTTTAGAAAGAACTAAAAACTAAAGGATCCACAATTATGGTTCACCACACCTGAAAGTATAGAGAAGTATGTTGGGTGTCTACAACCAAAGACTAAAAGAAGAATCAATAGATCAGTATAAATTCCCTCCACCTGGTTGAGATTTCCCTGGTTGTACCACCTAATCTTTCATTCAACGATCAAACAAGAACCAAAAAATTTACCAGCTATGCAACTACTGCAAACTGTCACTGCCTGACTGCCTCCTATAGTCCATTCTACACCATTCCCTCAATTCCCATGGGGAAAACTTGAATTGTGCTACAAAGCCTTCTTTTGACTTCTACCCAAAATGAACTTGAAGTCATTTTTGAGTAGGGGTGCTCCGATTTTCCCTGCATAGCCCCAAGGCAGGACGAGGACACAGATATGAGAAAGTAAGATTTCCATTTGCGGTTTTTCTAAAGAAAATTTGACTTGTTCCCAGACTGATGCAATATCGAGTGCAAACAATCTCTTCTAATAATTATATTTGGCTATTAAAATATGTTAGTATCCAATGCTTGGACACTTAGAGATCAGACTTTTTAACAAGAGTACTTGGTCATTGGACCTGAAGGCAACAAACCATAATTAGAAGTCCACCAACAATATTAAGGCTTCAAATTAGCGTATTGACCAACGTACATTTATTTAACTTTTATCTTTGCTGGCAACTTGTCTTGTTTTGAAGTCACGTTTTTTCTCTAGAATAGATTAACTGAAGTCTTTACAACTTACAGTACAAGAGTTGATATTCGGATGAAAGTGTGAGATTTGCTTTTGATTCTATTCCAGAGAGATGTCTATTCCCTAAACGAAGTCTTCAACAGAGATTATTCAGAAGGATTATAAAATGTAAATCCGGAGTTGCTTCCCATTCTCCTCCTAAATTCCCCCCTTTTTACTCATGACCTTTGAGATTTCCCCATGCGAACATTCACTAAACACTGTTACATTAGTAACCTGTTCAATGAACCCCATACATACCGACATATGGAGTGCTCTGAAGACACCACAACATGAAAAAATTGCTATGCTGGTAGACCATAAGAATATGGCGAACACTAAACACATTGAGTTCATACATGGAAAATGGAGCTTCAAGCTGCATTAAGGAAAAACAAATTTAACAGGGAATAACTGTTGATATGGGATACCTCTCTGAGTAGCATTTGAAGTATCGTCTTCTTGAACTTTACGCCTATAATCTTGTTCAAATCTGTCCAATGCATGACATTCATGGTATAGCTCCTGCAAAAAGCAAAAAATTCTCCTTACTAGAGCCTGAGCTGGTTAATCTGGTTTGAAGGAAGTGGAATGCAAGTAGATGTCCCCAGTTACAGCAAATGAATGAGCAAATAAAGCCCCCAGTCCAGCTTCTTTGATCATTTTTCTTTTTTTCCTTTTTTTCTTTTGCTTTTTTTATTTTTTATTTTTGTGATAAGCACAAAGCTCTCTAACTCCACCTGTATGAGTTTTACTCACAATGCCTATCCCGAATAGGAATGACAGAGGAGGGTTGCAGTAGGTTGGCAGCAGCATAAGACTAGCCAATTCATAATAAATGCTCAGAATATATATATATATATATCTTTGGGACGTGATGAACTAGGCACACATTACATCAGTACACAGAGTGATGAAAATAAGCTTAGGTCTTCCATCAAATCGCCGCCTGGGTGTGTAGGATATGAGTTAGGGTTCCCACATCATGAAAAGGTATGGGCAAAGAAGCTAGTCCCGCCACATCAACGCCGGGATGTGGGGCAAACTATAAAAGGATAAGCCATCATGGACGCGCGTGTGTAAAGAAGCTAGTCCCCCCACATTGGTGCTCAGATGTGGTGCAAAAACAAAAAAGGTCCCCACCTCATGGACGGATGAGGACAAAGAAGCTATAAGATAGTTAGTGTAACGACCGGGCCGGTCGTTTCGAGAGTTATAGCCCCGTTCCCCCATTTTATGCTTCTTTTGTGTTCTACAGCTGTATTTTGACTTACCAGGTTAGTTGGTTCGGGTCCGGAGTGATTTTGGAGTAAATTGAGACACTTACTCTCTTTTGTGAAGGCTTAAGTTGGGAAAGTTGACTGGATGTTAGACTTATGTATAAACGACCTCGGATTGGAATTTTGATGATTCTGTTAGCTCTATTAGGTGAATTTGGACTTAGGAGCGTGTCCGGAATGTGATGTGAAGGTCCGTGGTAGAATTAGGCATGAATTGGCGAAAGTTGGAATTTTGGCGATTTTTGGTCGGCAGTGGAAATTTTGATATTGGGGTCGGAATGGAATTCTGGAAGTTGGAGTAGGTTCGTGGTGTCATTTCTGACTTGTGTGCAAAATTTGGGGTCATTCGGACGTGATTTGATAGGTTTCGGCGTCGTTTGTGAAATTTGAAAGTTTAGAAGTTCTTAGGCTTGAATCCTAGGGTAATTTGGTGTTTTGATGTTGTTTTGAGTGACTCGAAGGTTCGACTAAGTTTGAATGATGTTATGGTATGCGTTGGTATGTTTGGTTGAGGTCCCAAAGCCTCGGGTGAGTTTCAGGTGGTTAACGGACTTGGTTTTTGATTGGCAACATGGCTGAATTGCTTATATCTAGTATCGGCTGTTTCTAGTTTCCTTGTACGCGATCGTAGGAGTCCATTCGCGATCATGTAGGCTTATTTGGGGGCAGAGGTGAGTTTGTTCTACGCGATTGCAGAGATAGGATCGCGATCGTGTAGGTATGCGAAGTTGTGCATCGCGGACGCGTGGCTGAGGTCACGTTCGCGTAGAAGGATTTGGAGCAGTAGTGAGGTGAAGGAATTTGCTCTATGCAATCGCGTAGAGCTGGGCGCGTTCGCGTAATTTTGAGAGATTGTGATTCGCGATCGCATGTGTATTTTCGCGATCGAGTAAGGTTAAAATGTGGGGCAGCCTGTTTGTGCTTCGCGATCGCAAGGCTATTTCCGCGATCGCAATGAAGGACATCTGGGCAGTATATAAAAGGTTCAAAAACGAGGGTTCCGGGATTTTTCACAATTCTAACATTCTTGAGCTCGGTTTTGGAGATTTTTGAGAGGATTTTGAAGGTGAATCTTGAGGTAAGTTCCTAGTGATCATTTCTATTCAATAATTATGCTTCCTCACTGATTTTCCCACCTAGTTGGTGTGTTTTTGAGATGTAATTTGGGAGTTTGAGGCTTGGAAATTGGAGAGATGATTTTGGGGATTTGAATGGCCATTTGATGTCGGATTTTGATGAATTTGGTATGGGTAAACTCGTGAGTGAATGGACTTTCTAGTTTTGTGACTTTTGTCGGATTCCGAGACGTGGGCCGGGTTTGAGTGAATTTCGGGATTTGTGTCCAATTAAGTAATTTTTCTTGTGGAATTGGTTCTTTGGCCTATATTGATTGCATTGTATTACTTTTGGCTAGATTCAGAACGTTTGGAGGCCGATTCGAGAGGCAAGGTCATCGCGGAGTAGGATTTTGCTTTGTTTAAGGTAAGTAACGTTTCCAAACTTGGTTCCGAGAGTTCGAAACCCCGAACTATGTGTTATGTGATTAGTATTGAGGTGACGCACATGCCAAGTGACGGGTGTGCGGGCGTGCACCGTGAGAATCGGGACCTGGTTCATCCCATGGCACCGTTTAGTGACTCGTTCTTGCTTATATATGTGTTTCCATCATGTGATTAAGTAAATGAGCTGTAAATCATGCTAGATATCATGTTAGGGCTTTACGCCGATACTGTTGGGACCCCTAGTGGTTGTTTCTTGCTGTCATCTCACTAGTTTCATTGATATTCTGTACTAAGGCCTCATTTGTTTTTTTTAAGATTAAGACGTCTGAATCTGAATACACATCTGAATATCAAGATTTGTAATAAGATTAAGACATCTGAATCTGAATACACATCTGAATATATTAAGATGTGTATTAAGATCTGAATAGAAATAGTTAAGATTGTTTGATTTTTAACATCTAAATCTATAAAATTTATCTTTATTTGAAAATTAATAAACATAAAATTCAAATGAAATAACTAATCTAATATTCTGTCAATAAAATATACAGTTTTCTAAAATACGATAGTTGTTGGTGGTGATGGCTAACGGGTGAATGCCGACTAGAGGCGGTGGTAGTTGATGGTGGTGGTTTTTCATGCTAGTAGCTAGTAGCTAGTAGTGATTGTTAGTAGTGGCGATTATGATTGAGGATGGTGGTGGTGGTTGGTGAATAATGGCGGGTGGTGATAGTAGTTGTGACTGAGGAAGGTGGTGGGTGGGTGGTGGTAGGTTATAATGATGGGCAGTGCCGACTGTGGTTGTTGATGGGGTGGTCAGTGGTGGTAGTTGAGGTGGATGAGTGTTGATTGTGGGTGAGAATGATGGTGGTCGGAGTGGTAGGGACAGTGGGTGGTGATGGTAGATAATGGTGGCGGCTATGATTGAGGATGATAATGGTGTGGTGGTGGTGGACGTGGTGGTGGGGAGGGGTGGTGGTTTAGCATGGTGGTGGCGGCGGCATGGTGGTAGTTGATAATGATAGGCGATGGCGGTAATTAATAATGAATATGTGATAGCATCTTAATGAAATTAAGTCTCTGTTATAGATCTTAATCATACAGACCTATTCAGACCCATTAAGTAGTTGTGAAGTAAAAAAACAAACACATTTAATGATTAAGATCTGAATAATTAAAATTCAAACTTTAAAAACAAACGTATATAATGTCTGAGATCTGAATGATTAAGATTCAGACCTCCATTAAGTGCAAACAAATGAGGCCTAAGTCTTATTCATGCATTTCATATCATGTCTCAGTCTCAATTGTTATTTATTGGCATATCATATCATTGTTCCGGGTTAGTTTTCAGGGCATTGTGTGCTCGTGTGTGAGACTGGAGAGTGATGACTGAGTGAGGCCGAGAGCCTGATTATGAGTGATAGTTATGGGATCGGACTGTACGCCGCAGCAGTTATGTTGATGATTATGATAGCACTTGGGCTGTAGAAGCCCCTCCGGAGTCTGCACACCCCCAGTGAGCGCAGATGATATTATTGAGGGATGGATTTCCCTGGACATGGATTTGTCCGAAGTCTTGATATCTGGAGATGGATTTCTCCAAAGGGTTGGATTACCCTTCTTCCTCGATACTGGTTGACTTGCAGTCAGTGTTGTATATGTTCCGGGATGGATTTCCCTGGGCCGGATGGCCATATGCAGTACCGAGTGGTTGAGCACTTGAGAGTGGGAGCACATGGTGCATTTCATACATTCTGTGCATGGGCATGTAGAGTTTAGCTGAGCTTTATATCTCACTTTGTTCAGATCTGTATTTTATTTTACTGTTTGAGCTGTATACTTGAATTGATAGCATGCCTACTTTTCCTGCACAGTTTATTTCTGTTACCTGTTGAGGTTAAGTTTGTCACTACCTATCAGTCCATAGTTTGGACTTGTTACTTACTGAGTTGGTGTACTTACGTTACCCCCTGCACCTCGTGTGCAGATCCAAGTATCTCTGGCCACGGTAGCAGTTGTTGATTTACTCAGTAGCAGATCATCGGAGATAGCGAGGTAGCTGTCTGGCGATCGCAGTCCTGCTTTTCTCCTTCTTTATCTTCCCTTTAGTGTATTTTGGTTATTCTCAGACTATGTTAGTCTTGCTATTTTCAGAACAGTTTGTAGTAGTTGCTTATGACTCAGTGACACCACGATGTTTGGGGCTTTATTTTCTGCATTTCAAATTTCGAGTTCAACTCTTGTTTTCTTTTATGAAATTCTGTTAAACATGATGTCTTTTGGCATAGTTTTTAATGAATTATGGTAGTATTGTGGGAGTCGGCTGGCCTAGTTTTATTGATAGGTGTCATCACGACAGGTTTGAGTTTAGGGTCGTGATAGTTAGATTCAGGTAGGTAGCTACAACATAGGCTCTTTGACAGAAAAGTCAATAGATTTAGTGGAAACGTTAAAAATGAGGAAGTTAATATTGCATGCCTCCAGGAAACTAAATGGACAGGTCAAAAGACTAGAGATATAGACAACGCGGGTTATAAATAAAGGTATTGTTGGGTAGACAAAAACAAAAATGAGTGGGTATTATTGTAGAACGGGGACTTGACAAGGTTGTAGAGGTAAAGCGAGTTGGGAATAGGACTATCTCATTGAGTTTTGTTCTGGAAATGAGACAATTAATGTCATTAGTGCCTATGCTTCACAGGTAGGATTAGATGCGGAAGTTTTTTTTTTGTCATGAAATAAGGTTAAAATAGGCGTCAAGAAGATGCAAAGTTACAAGGAGCATAATTACAGGAAACAAAAATACAAAAGAAATTGTTAGCCCCTATACAATGTGTCAATCTAGAACAAGAGTGCTAACGAACTCCAAAAAGTGTCCAGGGGATAACTTAGTCTAACAAAACAAATTGAGGAAGCATTTAGCCTTAAGCGAGTAATTTAGAATTGAGATTCCATCAAAACATCTTCTATTCCTCTCGGTCCATAAACAACAAAAATAATTGCAAGAATCATCAGCCAAATCTTTTTTATGGTCTTATCAACTTTCCGAAGAGTCCAACTCATGTGTCCTCACTCAAATTCTGTGGCATGACCCAGCTTAAGCCAAATACAGTAGAACATGTTCCATATATCAGTGGCCACTGGGCAGTGCATGAACAAGCGACTTACAATTTCCTGATTTCTTTTGCATAGCTGACATCTGCTGACTAACTGAAAACCTCGTTTGTTAAGGTTGTCATGTGTTAGCCAGGATGCTCCCAAACTGTGTATTTATTTGGTGATTTATGTTGACAGTATCGTTATTATCAGCAATATCAGGATGTGATGTAACACCTCTTTTAGCACTTCCAGACTAAGGATCTGGGCAAATTGAAATATTTTTAGGTAATAAGGTCGTTCAATCTAGATCAGGTATTGTTATTTCCCAAAGAAAGTATGCTTTAGACATTCATGAGGATACGGAATGAGAAGTTGTAGACCCATTGACACTCATATAGATCGGAATGCAAAGCTTCTGCGAGGGCAGGGGGGCCTCTTAACAATTCCACAAGATATAGACCGGTAAGTTGAATTACCTCATAGTGACTAGGCATGTCATTTCCTTTCTTATGAGTATTGTAAGTTAGTTTATGGACTCTTTGGGATGCAGCTGTCTCCATTCTCCAGTATATAAAATCCGGCCCAGGCAAAGGACTATTCTTTGAAAATCGAGACGATGAGCAAATCGTTGGATACACAAATGCTAGTTGGGCAGGATCACCTACTGGTAGATGCTCTACGTCTAGATATTGTGTTTTAGTAGGAGGTAATTTTGTGTCTACGTCTAGATATGGTATAGGCTTGTGGAAGAACATAACCAAACTGTTTTACCAGAACTGCAGGTTGCAAGTTGGTAATGGGACAAACATAAAATTTTGGAGAGACAAGCGGCTGAAGAATTCAGCTTTGCAAACTGATTATCCTAATCTTTTCCTGATCCCTAGTAATCCAGACTACACTATCTCACAAAATAGAGCGGACAATGCATGGAACCCACAGCTCAGAAGGAACCTACAGGAATGGGAGCTTGAAGAGCTACTCAAATTACTTGAAAGATTAGAGAATTGCATAACCAGTGAGCAGATTTCAGACAGACTAAGATGGAGTGATAAAGCAGATGGTCTATACTCTGTTAAAGCAGGATATTCAACTCTTTATGCCCAGAATGAGATGGTGGATAATTGGCCATGAAAATTAATCTGGAAAACAAAATTACCCCCTAAGATGATTTGTTTCAGCTAGAAAAGCACTCTACGAAGCATGTTTGCCTCATGACAATCTCCAGATAAGGAACATACACATTGTCAACAGATGCTACATGTGCCATCAGAACATAGAAACCAACAGTCATCTCCTACTACATTGTGCAGTTGCTATAGATATTTGTGTAACATGTTCCGTTTTTGGACATGAAAGGTTTAAGGATGCCTTCATGTGCTGGAGTTCTTGGAAAGTTGGTAGGTCCATCAGGAAGATCTGGAAAATGATTCCTGCCTGTGTTTTTCGGTGGGTATCTGGACAGAAAGGAATTGAAGATGTTTTGATGGAATATCAACTCCTAATCACACTCTCAGTTTGTCTTTTATCTTTACATAGCTGGAGTAATTGATAAGTTTTTGAACTTTTTTAGCTCCTTATCTTTAGTACAGGGCACACTGTAATGGAGCTAACAAACTCACCTTTGCATTTACTATCTTTTGTACTATTTGCATCTATTTGATGCCATTAATGATATCACTTACTTCATCCAAAAAAAAAGGAAGCAAGTTTGTGTCTTAGAAAAGCAAGAAACAAAATGTGGTTGCTCGATCTAGTGCAGAAGTAGAATATCGAACAATGGCTATGCAACATGTGAGCTAGTTTGGGTCAAACAGTTGCTCAGAGAATTGAAATTTGGAGAAATCCATCTGATGAAACTTGCGTGTGATAATCAAGTTGCCCTTCATATTGTATTAAATCCGGTATTCAATGAGAGGACTAAACACATTGAGACTGAGTGATCGTCATAGAAAAAAATACTCTTAGAAGATATTGTTACAAAGTTTGTGAAGTTAAATGAACAAGCTCGGTACATATGATTTATATGCACCGGCTTGGGGGAGTGTTATATATAGTATACTTAGTGTCCCACATCGGAAAATAGTTATTATGTGTGTTGTAAAGTATGGGTATAAAATTGAGCTCCATAAAACAACAGTTGAGAAGTATCTTTAATAATATTCTCCTGTTCCTTTATTACTCACAAAGAGATGAAAAAAAAGTAGAACGAATGAGAGAAAACTCACAGCTGTATATTGAACCAAAATCATGAGCTGCTGCATTACAGCCTCTGCTTCTTCTTTCAATTGTTTATGAGGTGTCAGTTCAGATTCCAACCTAAATATAACGAAATGCACTATAAATGATATGAACACACATTTCACTGTTCGGATGACAAGCAAGCAATACTAGACTAAAGTTTATAGCAAGTACTTTTCAAAATAACGGTCCAAGTTGTGCCATTGAGGATCTTTGCAGCGATTTCCAAAACGAACCACTTCACCAGAGAATATTTTCAGTTCATCCCTGTCATATTACAAGAATAATAGGAATTTCACACTCTACGCACAAAACCTGAAAGTAGCATCTACTTTACGGCAATAAGCTATCTCAGAATCTTTCACACCTCTTGTCTGCTGCAGCAATTCTCAAGAGTTCATCCATATCGTTTGATACCAATAGCTGCACACCTTCTGAAGGAAGAACCACCTCCTTCAAATGCTTAATATTCTCTTGTGAAAGGGAATGCATAAGATTGGCCCCCTTGACAATGGTGTTTGCAACTTCAAATGCCAGAATTGATATTGTAATTCCCTTTGTTGCCATGCTTGACGCAAAACCGCTACTTAGATTTAAATTTGTCATGCTGCTACCCAGTGTGTCCAACACATCTACTGCTTTACCGAACCCTGCTGTACCAGCTCTCCCCAACAGTGAACTTACTTCCGAAACCTTTCAAGCGAAAAAATAAATAAATTCCAGTTAACAGAATCCAGTGAGCTTTATCCATTTTGGAGGCTATACCATGACAATCTGTGTCATGCAGTATCCGATGTTGTGATAAAGAGTAGTAGACATTTTCAGGGATTTATCAAATTCCATTCTACAGTTTTATCAGAGGAGTTACAAGAGATGAAGCAAAAAATACCAAGTAACTCATCATAATCGCACGGGGTTTCCCGCATTCTTAGTTTCACATAACATACTCGAAAAAACAAACACTGCATCAATAAAAGCATTTCTTTTGTTCCTTCACTTGGTTTCTTCTTCTCTCTTTCACATTTGATTTATCCATTTTCTTGAGAAATCTTCCATTTGTATAAGTGGATCCACCCCTCATATTTGCTTATTGTCAATGGGGGCCATTTATCTTTATAAACTATTACATCGAATTTCAGACCATAACTAACAATGAAAGAAAAGAGAGATGCATCCAGGTCATAGCCAAAAGACATAACATAGCATATGTGATTGACTACTCATATTTGCAATCTTTTTAACAGTAAAGCCGTAAAGGTATACTTTTATTGATGAAACAGCTCTTGAACTATTCACCTTTGCAATTGCAACTTGCTTTGACCTTGTTGATGTAGATTTATTAGATAAATCTCTGGACAATCTTGGAATTCCATCATAAATATCATCCATAGGAGCCCCACGGGAAATCCTATTCACCTCAGGAAAAGATAATGCTGATTCACTTAGTTGGTTATCAGTGCTTTCCCCAGCCGGAGATTGCATAGGATCACTATTTATGTGTGTGGGCAATCTATGTGACGGATAAACAACTCCAGCACCATTACTATGTGGAATGCCACCATCTGTTGTGCTCTCAGCGGCAGATCTTCTAGAGCAAATGCCACCCATCTTCTGAATATGACCTTCAGCCTATTTCAATCTCAGTCTTCCCATCAAGAGCTAAATTAAACAAAAAAATGTGAAAAGCTGTCTTAGCAACCTAAAACTGCAAAATACTGAGACCGTCAAAGCCGCTCTTGGAAATTGCTCGAATTTACTGCTCAAATAGATATACGTCGAGCTGGAAGTTCAGAAACATCTACAACTATAACAACTAAGTCTCAATCCCAAACAAAGTTTAACAACATTCTAAACAGAAGATTACCATGGTACCAACTCTGGGAACAACTGCTTACTAAATCAACTAAAGTAAAAGAACAAACCATACAAAAAGAACAACTCATTCGCAAATATTTTTTTCTAGGACGGTGGTGTCCGAGCCAACTTGATCGCACCTCAACTATTCCATCAGGTACCTCCTATCTCTCACCACCAATACAAGTAACATATAACTCTACCAACCATGTGGGAGTAAATCACCTACTCCCTCCGTTTCAAATTAGATGAGGTACTTTCATTTTTGGTCTGTTCTAAAATAAATGACACATTTCTAAATTTGAAAATAATTTAACTTTAAACTTTCATTTTACTCATTTTACCCTTATAACCACAAAAATATCATGGCACCACAAAGCTTTTACCCTTAAGTTTTTAAGACCACAAGTTTCAAAAGTCTTGTTTTTTTTTCTTAATCTCTATGCCAGTCAAACTAACTCATCTAAATTGAAACGGAGGAGTCATATTTTTATTAACAAAAAAAACCATCTTTTTGAACTTGAAATCAAAGAAGGCATGTAAAGGGCTAATAAGGTGATTTCTTTCTCATCTATCCAAGCCTTGATTGACAAAATTATCTGATACTTGTTGCTGATGGATGTGGCAGGTATCTCGTAAAATTAGCCGAGGTCCACACAAACTTGTCCAAACACCACGGTTATAAAAAAAAAAGACAAATAAGGAGACTCGGGGAACAAGCAATTATTATCAAAATGAAGTCGAAAGTAACAACACACAGACACACCGTGAGAATAAGCTATAGCATCCAAATAGGAGAATGTGATGATAAAAGCAACTTACCCAGCAAGAGAAAAGGGAAAAAGATGAAAGCTTGGATTTTTTAAAGCAGATTCTACAACTCTCTTTAATACTCCTTCTACAACAGGAACAAGAAAGAAGGATAATTACATTTGATTAGAATGATGATTGATTAAAGTGATGAACTTGGTCACTCTTTCCCTTTCTGTGTAGCTTTTGGGTCTTTTAGTATATTTTGGAGCTGCGTACGAGGTGGAGGGAATAGGGAGGTGAGTAAGCGAAAAGACCCAAGTGAGACACGCAAGAGAGTGAAATTTTTATTTTGCCTACGGTGTGAGGCAACTTTTTTTATCTCATAATTTTGTGGACTCAGATTTTTTATAGACCCAAAAGTTTAAGATTGGAGTTTACAAATTTGTATGACAAAAAGGTTGCATGAGATACAAAATAAAACTTTTTCGCAAGAGAGTAAACATTAGTCTCTTTCTCTCACGCATACACACAGTTTACACTTGTGACATTAGCCTATTTTAGGGGAAATACACGGTTAGCCACTAATAATATATGTATTTATTTTTAAGCTACTGTTTAAAATGTCTTTAGTCTTTAGCCACTGTTTTAATAAATTTTAATTGCCCGGACAAAATACCCTTCTGCTCATGTCTTTAACTTTTGAACTTAACTCCAGAATTTCAAGACTACATGTCCTTAACTTTTGAACTTGTAATTCTAAGTTCAGGACTACATGTCCTTAACTTTTGAACTTTGACCACTAAGTTTAGGACTTCACGACTATATGTCCTTAACTTTTGAACTTAACTTCAGGACTTCAGACTACATATCCTTAACTTTTAAACTTAACTTCAGGACTTCGGGACTACATGTCCATAACTTTTGAACTTAACTTCAGGACTACATGTCGTTAACTTTTGAACTTAACTTTAGAAATTTAGGACTACATGTCTTTAACTTATTTACTTATGCTCCGGAAAGCCATCATCTGGTATTGATTATTTTAATGTAATATTTTTACTAAGCAATGGATTGTGCTTCCTCATGCTCCTTTAGAAACGTCACATTGTAAAGAAAATGAAGGTGTTGGTTTCTTGATTGATCCTAATTATTTCGACTATCTTGTGTTGCGATTTATTCCTTTGGGTGATTTCAAGTTTAGTATCCAGGTGTTTTCGTCTGAGCAACGAAAGGGGGATAACTTTTAGGTAATTAATGAAATGAATGCATCGGCGTATTTCTATTCGGAAGGAAAGGGTAACACTATCTTTTCATATTAATTTTAATAAATTAGTGACTACTTTTGCTCAGCATTTAAAATGTTGGACAAAAAGTAAATATCACTTTAAAAAATGGCTATCCCACGCCATTTCTACCCTATTTTACTAACTATGACAACACCAAAAACCATTGCAGGTTGCTGACGCCACCCACTTTTCTTTGCTTTGTTTTTTCCTTCTGGCCTTTTGTTCTTTTGGGTGAATTGCACTTATTCTTTTTTTTGCATTACACGGATATATTCTCTCCACTTCTAAACTTTTTTATTTGAATTATTAAAATCATTCTAATAATTTTGTTTTCGGTATGTGATACTATTTTTATGATTGTTGCTCTCTGATTGTTATTATTTGATGCTACTTTTTCGCCTACATATTGTTATTTGATAGAGTTTTTGACCAGTATTGTCCCTTATCTTTGAGAATAGGTCCATTTTGGTCCCTCAAATATAACCCTAAGCATATTTAGTCCCTTAAGTATGCTAAATTGGAGCACATTTAGTCGTTTATCTTTGAGGGTAGGTCTATTTTGGTCCCTCAAATATAACCCTGAGCATATTTAGTCCCTTAAGTATGCTAAATTGGAGCACATTTAGTCGTTTATCTTTGAGGGTAGGTCTATTTTGGTCCCTCAAATATAACCCTGAGCATATTTAGTCCCTTAAGTATGCTAAAGTGAAGCACATTTAAGGGATAATATTGGCCAAAAACTCATATTTGATGCTACTCTTTCTCCTCTTTGTTTATCATCTTTCTCCCCCCCTCTTTCCTCCTCTTCTTCTCCCTTATTCTTCCTTTCCATCTTTTCTTGAGCCGAGGGTCTATCGAAAACAGTCTCTCTACCTCTCCAAGTAGGGTAATGTCTGCATACTCACTACCCTCCTCAGACTCCACCCGTGAGATTGTTTTTGTCCCTTATCTAAGGGAATGGGTTCAGTTTTGTCCTTCAAATATAATCCAGAGCATCTTTAATCCTTTAACTTTGTTAAAATGGAGTACCTTTGATCTCACTAACAAAACCAAGTTAAAAACTAACAGAAGGAGCAATTTCTTTTAATGGTGGTTTCTTTGAAGCTTCTCAAATAGTAATAACCATCTGCCTTCTTTTTTAACTTATGAGGCATTATTTTGGTTTACTTGAAGCTTTTCTGAGAAATATCAAAAAAAATTCACTGATTCACATTTTCTTTCCTCATGTTTTCATTTTCTTAAGATAAGGTGAAACTAATTTCACCTTTAAACTTCATATGCTTTATCATTTTCACTTACTTGACACGGCAAAACCAAAACCAAAATAAAGCATCATTAAACTCATCTCCTTTAAAAAGAAATATGTTAACCCTCTGAAAAGTATATTATAATAATCCTTTACAATAGCAAAAGCAAAATGAAGAGTTACTAAAATCAACTATTTACATCAGCCTTTTAGTGATAAAAAATAATCTATTAGGCGTATCCATATAATCTTCAACAACATCCCAACTATTTTATACTAATCTTCAGCAACAAAGCGGTATTTCTCTAGTAGTAAAAAAAATCCTCTTAGAGCAGCAACAACCAATCTTTTTCAGCAGAAACTTACATACTAAAAAATGTATCTCCAGTCACTCTTCTTTATTGAGTTGTGTGCATATGATCTTGGTTAGTAGGTCCTCTTCTTACCTGTAATTAAGAAAATATTACAGTCACCATATTAATGGTATAATCAAATAGAGTAATATGTGTAATAAACTCACACCGGAAGTTTTATAGGAGCAAAAGATACAGTAGAAAATGAGGATTCTTGTTGCAATGTCTCATCATCATGAGAATTTGGATACACAATCCAATATTTTTTGCTTTCTTTTTATTTTTTGTCTACTTGTTGCAACTTTATCAGTCTCTTTTCTGCCGAAGCTTTTGTTTTCTTTCTTTGGTACTTTGTTTTTTCAATCGTGGAGGCAAAAGAGGTATGTTACTCGACATAGGATTCATCTCTTGACCATTAATAGGTAGAATAGAAAATGCATAGATCCTTCTATAAGTTTCTACCTTATAACAATCATCCACATATAAATGAATGCCATTATGTTTAGCCCAAATCGCGACAATGAAATGCTTGCAAGGGATTCCTGTTAGATCTAATTTCTTACAACTGCATTTTTTATTTAACAAATCCACAACCCAATTATTCATTATGCTTGCTCCTATTATCTCATAATTCCACTCATTTGATTTTCCTGGGATAAATTCAATTTCACTAACCTGATTTTTTGGTAATACATCCTTAATCCTAGGGCAAATATCACCATCATTTCACTTGACACATTTATCCCTATTTTCTTGCATCCTTTTCATAAGGTGATACCTAACTTCTCCAATAAAGTGATAATCGGCTTATCTCCAGTCTCAATGAGCATGCTATTAAAATATTCACACATATTATTGAGTAAGGTATCACATTTCATAGTTTCAGGGAAGTGAGATTTAGACATTCAGCGGGTGACTTTTATTGAGCCAATCAATAGTTTATGAATCTAGATCACATATGTCAACCATGCAATCATCAAACCACTTTACTTTTGTAGCCTTTGCAGCCTTCAAAAGGGCATTCCTAAGTGAGACCACTGAATTTGGCTTTTTTGAAGTTGTTATGGAGGTGTCTCACACAGAATCGATGACAAATATATGGCGATACCTCATTGAACGCTTCAATCGAACATATTTCCTTGTTTGACATGAAGGCCAAGTGCCATCATAGTCAATGTCAAAGTCAAGCTTCAAATAACCATTCCCACGATTCCTTTCTTTCCTTTTCTACAACTGCATATGCTATCGGAAAGATATTATTATTCGGATCAAGCCCAACAACAGTTAACAACCATCAACCACAATTATTCTTCTACAACCACTGCTAAACCTCTCTTTACAACCACAAAAACAAATGTAGATTCTCTGGAATTTATTAGGCTTATCGGGCGCCTCATTTTTAACTAACTTCATATAGACAGAGGTATTTTGATTTGTCCTCCCAATTTCATTGCAGTAGTTCCACAATACCTTATATTGGGCATTAAGATCTCCATCAATCAGTTCAAGTATTTTTTTCTTAGCCCTTCTACATTGTGATAATGTCAATTGAACTCTGCACCAATTGCCCAAGACCTATTTGAGCTTATGACCTTAAGGTATCTTCGTTCAATATAAGAAGATGTGATTGATTTTTTAAGTTGATTCCAAATCTAACAATCATGAGTGGGATTTTATGTTCTGGTCTGAAAGGTCCAATCTTGATGCATTCTTGAAGCTAGAATCTCCCAATTGCAATTTGGATGACCACAAGTTGCTTTCACTCTCGAGTTATCATTCTTGCACCATTTAATGTACTTTCCTTCAATGACTTCATAAGTTATTACAACATATTTGAACTCACGCTTGTTCCCAAATATTAGTTATAATGCTAACACTGGTTTATCAACGCTCGTCTTAAGAAAGTTGAAACTCTTACTGTCAAAGTCATATTCTAAACTCTTTGTATCATTTGAGTCAACACAATCTGAATCACCTTCTTCAGCAGCCATCTTTTTCTTAGCTTCTTCACTAACTTCGTATCTATGATTCACATATTCAGTATCATCCGAAAAATCAATTTTTCTTGCTCTACTCCACCTATTTTATTAGCATTTATAGTTATTCCATATATGAATCAAGATGTTCAAAGTACACCTCAACCACCTTATCATCTCGAATATTTTTGGATACAACAGTGGCTTTCACATCAGTAGAAACAAGTTGCATTCTAGTACCATATCTCCCGCACTTATGCTAGAAAGTAACATAATCTATCTCATAACCACATAGTTCTGTCATGGAATTGAAATGTGATAGATCCAATTTCATGGTACCATTATGTTACTTTTATAATGAAAAAAAAATTGTAACGATCTGATCGGTCATTTTGAGAATTCCATTTGGTGGTTTGAAGTATTGAGTAGCTTCATATGATGTATTACGACGTGTG